CTGGAAAGCAAAATTCACCCAACGACGACGTCACAGAGATGCCCAACGCTTGAAAACGACATGTGAGAGACTGATTTGGCTCCTTCATCTATTGTCTCACTGGCACGGACCATTTTATACTGTGACTGTGGATTCAAATTTTTTCACCAGGCGCTCAATTGTTAATCTGACAGAACGATTATGACAACCATAAATTAGATGTAGCGCCTTTTATAGTTGAGGCTACTGACTCTGAATTTTAGGAGTAGATTTTAATAATTTTTACTCGTGGCTGGATCGCATATATTTCCATGATAAAAAGAACCTTACTGAAGAGAAATGTCAAAAGAGCGGGAAAAAAATGTGGGGTCTACTTTTATAGCGGCCCTATTGAAAAACTCGTTATGCCTGTATGACTCTAACAACCCCCTTTGCATACCCAGCGTTAAACTGATAAGGTGTATAGGCGAGGATTGCAAAACAAGTGTATAGTATTTCTATAAACGTTTATTGTATCCACCTCCACGAATTAGCCCCAGGTATGGATAGTACAGTTTTTTGTACAGTTATATAATTTAAATTCAGCACAAAGTTCGGAATATCCAGAAAGAACGGTCGGGGATCCTATAAAATATTCATATGACTTATCAATTTGGTCGAGATGTGTCGATTTAGCCATGACTGTCTGTCTGTCTATACGTAAATTAGTTCTTCAGTTTTTGAGATATCGATCCAGTTTTTTTTATACAAGTAGACCAACAATTAATAATTGTATCGTCGTTGATAGTACTCAAGATCATCAGCCATATTATTGTTGCTCTGAAGAATTCAAATATTTTTAAMAWAAWAMAAAAAAACATGTAAAATACATAACTCCGTATAAAACAAAGGTAAAAGTTAAAGTCAACAGGTCAACGTAATCGATTTCGTGCTTCAGCCAATTAAATTCAATTAATCAATTTCATTTGTTAACACATAAAAATGCCATTGCTTCACAGTGTTTTACATATATATATATATATACACACAGATCAGATATTCAATATACTTGATATTTGCAGGTCGCAATGGTTGAGGTCCAATTGGACAGTAGCACCAAAGTGCCTGCCGGTATGCTCGTCGCCTTCGCCATCTGTACCACGCTGCTTGTGGCTGTACATATGTTGGCGCTTATGATCAGTACTTGTATTTTACCAAATATCGAAACAGTTTGTAATTTGCACAGCATCTCGTTGGTACACGAATCACCGCATGAACGCCTACACTGGTATATTGAAACAGCGTGGGCTTTCTCCACGCTACTCGGACTGATACTCTTCCTACTCGAGATAGCTATACTTTGTTGGGTGAAATTTTATGATTTAAGTCAGCCAGCCGCTTGGTCGGCATGCATCGTACTTATACCGGTAATGATAGTCTTCCTAGCGTTTGCGATACATTTCTATCGTTCGCTTGTCACACATAAATACGAGGTTACCGTTTCGGGTATACGCGAGCTGGAGATATTGAAGGAGCAAATGGAACAGGATCACATCGATACGCATCATCATCATCTGCATCGTAATAACGGTTTGAATTATGGCGCCAGTGGTGAAATAGTTTAAACACCATGCTTGACGAAAGTCCATAACCTTGTAGCTATGGTGGAATACAGTTTGTTATTTGTCGGGAATACACTATTTGCATATTTACACTGGAGAAGAGACATCTGTATGCGACCTCATACATTTAGGCGATAAAGTTTTTATACGCTACTTTTTACACGAATATAGACATTGCTAATGACTAACAAATATCAAATCAAAATACATTATGTATATATTATATATTTTTATGTAGGCTAGTCATTTGTTATTGTATGTACACGAAAACCTAATTGAATTGAATTCTCAAAGAATTCAAATACAATTGTGATATTGGTAAATGCGTTTTAATTTCAATTATGAAATGCATTTTGGCATATCTTGTTTCATTTAACGCTTAATTTTTAATATTATCGTAATACATGTAAATTTATATAATTGAAATGTGTTTATATAAGCCTTAAAGTAAGCGTTGTTAAATAAATACTTTGTGCACTTGCGAAATTAATACGTTGCCAAGCTACGCAAAGTTTAATTATAATTAAATTTTATTTACCAGCAATATTGTAGATTTACGCTGTGAAAGAGTCATTGGCAGTTGCCGATGTGGAGCGCCAACAAAGCCATTTAGATGCAGTGCAAACATGTGGAATTCGCATATTTTCTTCATTCAACTGCATATCAACTTAAAATGATTCTTTCACATTTATCCATCAAACTACCTTAATTTACTTAATTTTTAAAATTAAATACTTTTAACATAGATTTAAGGATATGTAATTAAAGATATAACTTGAAAAACATTAACAATGATAATTCATTTGGCAGCGAAACTAAATTAAAAAAATATTTTTATAAAATAAAGGTAGCTAAAAACATGAAAAGTTATTAAATTCGTTTGCACCTAAGCTTTAATACCCTTCACGATTACTAGTGCTCCGGGATGCACTTAAAATACCGAAATTTAAAGTGCCGACAAATTAAAATATCGACAAACCAAAATGCCGACATGTGAAAAATATTTTATCTTGCCTGCCCTTATTTCTAACGCAGCACAGAAATAGAATTCTACTGACTAAGGGGAGTTATGATCCTGAGCGTGTTCGTGGAGAGAGGCCACAGGGCCTCGAACGAACAATGCCACATTTTCATGATTTGTCGGTGTTTTGATTTGTCGGTATTTTGACTGTCGGGATTCTAAATTTCGAGATTTTGATTGTCGGCATTACTTTATACACCCTAAGGTTCCATACAAGAACTTTCTTTCGACATCGATCCGTTTGTACGGCAGTTCAATTGGTTCTTCGGAGATTGTACCGTTGCCTCGGAGAATAATAGATGCGAAATTTCGTGAAGATACCTTGTTCAATAAAAGCGTTTTCCATGTAAGAACTTTATATTGATCGTTCAGGGAAAAGTTTTCAATACAAGAACTTTAATTTGATCGTCGTTGTTGTTGTAACGGGTACCTAAACTCCGATGTGATGTTACGGATTAGATAACGAGCAGTTTCGACGGGGTTGGACCGTAGAGAGAGGGGTGTCAGATATGTGGGATTACCAGGACATGCAAAGAGGTGCCCAGTGTCATGCGAGGACTCGTTGCACGCTGGGTTATTTCAGTTTCCAAAACAGCCGGTTCTACGTTGCCGGAGTTAAACCGGTTATCCGGCCAAGGGCTGTACTTTCGGGTATTCTACCTCGTTTGGATCGGTAAGTTTTAGAATAAGATCAATATGATCGTTCAGTGTGCATGGTAGGTATGCTATAGTTATAGCTAGGAGGCTCTAAACAAGACGAATCGAAATACAAATAAATTAAATGTATCGGCAACAATGAATCATTACTGTACTCTCGAATTTGATTGAACTGAATAATATTTCTTGAAGTCTGAGCATCTATATTTTTATGAAAATGGCTTTTGTAACCTATTTAATTATTTTCACTTGCATGGAATGCTAATTTGACAAACCCCCGCCACCCGCCCCCTCAGTTCAAGTTCTTGCGCCTAAAACTATGTACCGTATATTATTAATAATGGGTATCACTTAACAAATTTTTCGTTCTCTCTTTTCTCTACACTCTTTTTAATGACACCTTCTTCGCTCAACTTGGGCGCACTGGTCTCTCACGAACGGACGAATATAAATATAAAATTTTGCACTGAAGAATCCGACAGTCTTTTTTGACATTTGCCAAGAAAAGGTTAAAAATCTACAAGTTTTGTGCGTTACTTTCGCAAAACCAGTTTTTAAAACACAGCTTAACAGAGCTAACGAATCAATTTTCAACTTTTTTTCAAGTGAATATAAGTTGCAACCATTTCGTTTCAAAATGCCATCTAACATGAATAATAAACTGTAAGTAATAGATAATGAAGAAAGTGGCAGTGAATGCGTATAGCGAAATTTCCAACAAGAAAAATCAATGTAGTGCAATAGAAAATTAAGTCAAATAGGAACGAAGTAATTTCAGTGATTTCAAAGCTATTTGATCTCGTTCCAAAAATGATGGCACAAATTAAAATGGTTGTATTTTTTGTCGAGATTTTGTGATGTAGTAGTGTTAAGTGATGAAATCTGGTATAAATTATCTAACTGGTTCCCTGTAGTGTTATGAGGGACTACCGTTTATTGCTGTGGTGGTGTTGGTCAGAAAAGGAATACCGTTATATATTTATAAATTACTAAACCGCAAAGTAATTGAAGACCTTGTGTCCCTTCCCCATCCCCAGGCACGTGTTCTTTGGTTATATTTCGCGTGCGAATATTTGTATATGATTTCAAATATTAATGCACATGTGTGGAGGTCGTGCGTAAGTAAAGTAAACGAAATAATATATGAATTTCAAATACTTCGTTGTTTTAGCGTTGTTTTTTGAAATTTTTATTTCTTTACTTTATTGTTACTAAACTTTTAATATTTACGTATGTATGATGGTGTGTATGTGTGACTTTGTATGTGCCCCAACATCGCAATCATTACGTGTCGTTGCGTTCGTTGTGTTTTCTATGTTTTTGTTTCTGTTTGTAATGTTTATTTGTTTCTATTCGTTTTCCACTGGCTTCGTTGAGCCACCATTTCATTTCACGAACATAAGTATATATATTGGCATATTTGCCTTCACTCACTTCACATACATTACCCGAGTTATTGTGTTCGTACGAGTTCAAGCATATACATATGTATGTATTTTTAATTGTTTATATATATATACAACTACTTGCGTACGTGTAGTACACCAAACCGTTTTTGAACAATGTTTTATCTGTGTACTTATGTATGTTCTCCTTTGTGCTACTCGATGGAGCTTTTACTTATCTTTTGTGTAATTTGTGAGGTTATGCAAAGAAGTTGGAACATAAATTTACATACATCTGTACATATATATGTTTTCTTATCATTTCCAATCAGAAATGTCTGGATTTTTCGAATTCTTGGCTTTGTTGTAGTTTTTTTTTTATTTCCTAACTTGTTTTGGGGTTTTTATTTTCACAGCAGAAATTGTAAGAAACGCTAAATTTATGAAAAGAAATTCAATGTCTTGAAAATATTTGACTGAGGGACGAAAATATACAATGAAGGAGTACGGTGCTGCATCAAATATTTGTTTTTATATCTACTCGAGATTGGGTATGTCTTTTTGAAATGAACTATAAATTATTTACTGTTCTGATTTTTGTCCTTGACCCTACATATTATATACATATTTATATATGTACATACATATGTAAGTAAATTTTTCCGCCTTTGTTCCAGTTGCATTGACAAAAGAGTGGTATGCAGTAGATGAATTCGCTCGGTTTTCAACTGCTGTCGTGATGTTGAAAAGTTAATCAAAGTTAAACATTTTTTCTACTAAACCTTGATAAATAAGATTATAGATACATACATACATACATACATCCATTGTCCAAAATTCTACTTTTGATGTTTTTCGATTATAGGAGGGAAATAAAAGTTTTAAGCAATAAATAAAGTGGATAATGGCCTTTATTAGAAGCAGGTTTTTCGCTGAAAATTTGCCACGAAGTTTATTACACCTGGAAGGAAACATTGTTATTGATTTAAAAAAATTTTGTATTTTAAACGATTTTAACAAAAATTATTCTTTAAAACAATGATAAAATATTCAAACAAATAGTTCAGAGCGGACCACTCTAGCACATAGCAGTTTTACAAACTAATTGAATAAAATACCATGCTTTCATGTTAAACTTTTTTATTTGGTGAAATATTTACGGCAATACAAACTGACTGATCAAACCAATTCTTGTATGGAATCTTTAGTATTGATAATTTTTCAACCTACAACGATTGTGGAATCAGGAAGTGGAAAACCTGAATTGCAATCTACTCTACTTTAACCAAATATTCAAATATATTATTTTTGTAACCTTGTAACCAAACCCCAAAATCGCCGTGTCAACTAGTAGGATCAAGGACAATCAAACCGGCTCCCAAATTTCTTCAGTACTCTTTTCGGCACGATTCCGATTACTTTGGCGGAGGGGTAAAAAAACCGAATTTCCATAGAAATGGGGTATGTACGGATAGGGGAGCTTTTCCAGAGTAGGAATATCCAAAAATTAGATAAAAATTACTAAYATTTTTTAAAATATTCACGTTTAAAATTTCAAAAATTTGCACTGCGAACACATGTTATTTTATGTTTCACTAATATTTTTCAAATTTTTTTTATGTATATTTAAATATACACTCTAAGCTTTAAAATAAGCTCACATTTCACATTTATTTTGTAATTTTTCTGCTATATTTAGTCACTTAAAAATTATTTATCAAATTTATGTCTGAAAGATTTTTCAGCGTTTCACAGCGTTTTCTGTGTTTGTACTTTCGAGTGTTTCTTTTTTCTCTATTAACTATAAAAAACTATAAAGAAGAAATTTATTAAGCAAATAAGTAATATTATATACATGTATTAGTAATATTACATAATAATATTATATATACATATGCATAAGTAATATTATATAATAAAAGTGTAAAGTGTAAAGTATACAGTACAGTACGAAAACTCAAATATTGTTTCAATATGAGTGAATGATAACCAACAAATATAACCACTTTATATACGAATTCTGCGTTGGCGGCCTTCGGCCGCGCTTTAAAAAAATAACTCTGG